CATGTCAATTCATGTCCACAAAATTATTGATAAGCTGATATTGTTTTTGTACAATCTCTATAAATGAGATTAACAGTGTTCAAATTTCAATTTTCCTAATATGTGTGGTTGGGAAGTATTGAATATAAACTTCATTTTGTTTTTTTATATAATTACAACATTTGGTTAATATTACTTTTACTACTCTTATTTAGATTTTTTTTGTTATTATTACACAAAACTACGCAAACTTTTAAATGGAATATGACAAATAAATAATCGGTAAATAAGAGAGTAAAAAATGGAACGAGATTGACTAAATAAAAAATATGGTAAGTGGAGAGTTTATAAGCAAAGAATTGTTCTTTGTCCTGAATTTAAGAAAAAAATATCAAATTGATTTATGTGGTTAAGATTTATTTTGAGTTTAGGTACATTTACTTTGTCAATATTTCATAGTAGTGATGAACAACAATACACATACAAAGTAAAATTTGTAAATTAAAAAATTTTCATCCACAATTTGTATGACTAAATACACACGTTTACAACACAAAAGTTTATTTTCATAAACTTTTCCCTAATTTGCAAATATTATTCTCCCGTGCATCGCACAGGTAAAATACTAGTAAAATTACATTTTAAACAAAATACTTGATTTACTAATCATGACACTACTTTTAAAAATGAAATCTATTCACATACTCCGAAGTACGTGGTTTATAACCTTTGGAAAGTGTTTAAAATTAATCATTGTTTGTACCTCGGGGCTCTGAATACTTGTCATCGTATTATTCCCTCCATCTCGTTGAAAGATTGACACTTTTTTAGTTATGTGTCTCATTCAAAGGTTCACATATAATTTTATAAAACAAGTTACTCTCTTTAATTACATCTTTATCAAATTTCTCTTTCTCACTCATTACATGACAAGTCTCACGAGTTCCCATCCCCCAACTTATCTCTCTTTAATTACTTTCACTTTTATGTTTAATTATTTTTTCTAAAATTTCTCTTTCCTCTCTTTTTTACCCAAATTACTTTATTATCGTTTGTCTAAAAAAATCGTGTCTTTACTCACGGGAACCTTCCAACGGGACGGAAGGAGTACTATCTAAGTTCGTCTTTTAGGAGGTGCAATAGATTTTAGCAATGGAGTCAACTTTTATGTGGCACCTCCGAAACTAAAAATCAATACTTCGTACTAGGTATGTATGTATACATGAAAATTTCTTAAGATACATGAGTTGTACACAATGTGTACACAAAATTCCACTAGTTGCTTGTAGACTCAGGCATTTTTTTAAAAAAGGGGCAGAATTTGATATCAAAACCCCTCTAATTGCATGTGTACACAGATAATGTACATATTTTGTGTACATATTGTGTACACCAAGAATGACCCTCTTACCCATGTATACATTGTAGTAGTTATATGTTTGATTTTTCTAGTCCTTATGTATTACTTTAGTACATGTAAAACTTTTTCATTGTTACAAATAGGGAAACATTTAAAGAACACTATCTTCTCTTAATGGAGCTCTCAAGTTTTGCTTGACAGAAGAAGAACTAGTGAGGGAGAAAGAAGAGGTCCGACTCCATGTGAAACAAATTTTAGGTATTTACTTAAAATTGATCGCAAATAATAATATGTGAGAATATTGGGTACAATCTCTATATATATGAATCCTCTGATTCTTCACTTGCAATTTGAAATAAATATAATTAAAGAATTTAATTTAAAATTAAATCTTTAATCCTTCAAACGTTCGAACGTTCTTCAGATCTTCAAATCTTCGTTCTTGAGATCTTTGAATCATCGAATCTTCGTTCGTCAGATCTTCAAATCTTCTTGAATAAAAAATTCAACTTGAAGGGCCTCCGGTCTTCAACAAAAGGGCCGTTTTGTGGCTTGATCTTCTGTTTAAGGGCCTCCCGGGATATGTGGCTTGATCTTCAATTGAATCTCAATTCAATCTTCACATGAGTATCTTCAAATCTTCAAAGATTCGTTCTTCATAATCTTCGAATCTTCAAAGTCTTGTTCTTCAGATATTCGAATCTTCAAGCTTTGTTCTTCAGATCTTCGAATGGTCTTCAACTTTTGGATTTATTTTATTAAGAATCGACGAAATCACGAAGGATTATTCGTATATTCTTAATAAAATTTGTGGCTTGATCTATTCATCTTCTTCGGAATCGTTCAGAGCCTTTCGAGAGTTCTTGAGAACTTTTCTGCAGCGTTTCTTCGTCTGAAAAATCTCTCCTTCCTTTCTCTCAACTGAGACCCCTATTTATAGGTGTGGAGGGGGTGAAAATATGGCTTAGGGTTGGTGAAATTCGTCCATACCCCATGGGCCTCAATTAAAATGGGCTTTGGACTCTATTTGCTTGCATTTAATAGCTAGAAAAATCAGCATTTGTCCAATGTATTTGGATGGCTTTTTAAACAAGTTTCATAGCTATTTTCCATGCATATGGAATGATTTCTTAGCCAGATTCGTTGACCTCTTTATCAATTGGATCATGACTATTATATATTGGGTCATCATATGATATTGGGCTCAAAATGGAGAAATTAATAGGAGCGGTCCATTCTTTTTAAGGATTAAATTAATTGAATATTTTAATAACCCAAATCAATTCAATTATTAAATTTTATCTGAATGGATCCACATTGATATTTTTATAAGGCCCAACAACTACCACTAGTAGCCCATTGGGATCGATATTGGCCCAATAATTTTTTGGTGTCCACACCCCCAAACATGGAGGAAAATCCTCCTATTTTTAGGAAAAGGGGAGGGTGAAATTCTACTCTAATGGACCGAATGGGTTGAAACGGATCTAACTTATCGGACGTTAGGTCAGGATAATAATAGGTCTGGTCCAATATATCAACCGTTCTTATATAAATTTGTTCATATTAATTGGCCCCTTGAATTTTAATTTGGATTAAGCCTGCTATAGTTTTGTTTGTTCATCTATGTTATCCCACCGGTGGAAACATGTCCACTTAGGGTATGTGTGAGAAAAAAAAAGTGATTTTCAACTTTTGGCTTAAAAAAGAGTGTTTTCAAGCGATAACTTTTGTTTAAATTAAACCTTAAAAACTAAAAGCTAGAATCTGCTTTTTGCTTTTTCCAATTATACAAAAAACACATTTTACCAATCACTATCAATTTTTACTATTAAACATTTTCAAGTGATTTTTTTTAAAGTATAAGGTATTGCAACACTCCTCAGCTTATATTTCAAAAGTCATTTACTTATATCGAATAACCTTCGCTAAAAATATGTGACATATCCGTATAAATATTTAATACGAAGTATGTTCTAGCTTATCAAGTTTTAAAAAACTACCAGCGTTTTTGTCTTTTGCCATAGTATTCGACCTGGTGCGTGTGTTCTTTATTTATTTTAATATGAGTGAGTTAATTCCTAATTAGTTTACAATTTGTTATCCCTAAAAATATAAAGTCTTTGTTAAAGATCTTTCCGCACGAGAATGTAAATGTAATATAATGATGTTTTTACTTGGACTGAAATTTGTTGGTTTGGTCTTGTCTGATCTATTTAAGTCTGATTTAGTCTGATCTTGTTTGATAAATGTTTGATCTCTATGTATTTTATAACTAAGGAAATTTTATCTGGTCTAATCTGATTTGTTTAAGTCTGATTTGATCTGATTCGAGACTGAAAATAATCCAAATAAAAACATCCTAAATCATCACGATACTATGGTCAGTATTCGAAATAATCATGTTATTAATCTGAATATGCTTTTAAGTCACACTCATCTTTTAAGAATCTCTTAGCTCTTATACTAGGAGAATCTTTAAAGCATTTTCATGTGTACAAAATAAGTAACATATACTCCCTCCGGTTCCAAATGAAATTCACACTTTCCGTTTTGGATAGGTCCAAAATAAATTCCACACTTTTCTCCCTTCCTTATTTGGCAAATTATCTACATCAAAACAGTGCAAAACAGTGTCAAACAGTACCAAACAGTGTCACAACAGTGTACTCTACAGTAAAGTCAAATTTATTTCCTTAATTTTGTGTGAAGTCAAAGTGTGAATTTCATTTGGGACCCAAGGGAGTATGAAACTTATCTCAAAATTTGGGTCCGGTCCTGTAAGGAAATATACCATGTGAAATCTCTGAAATTGGCAAATTATACCTTGAGATCGGCACACCATGCGCATGTTGTGCCTGATCCCACTACTTCTTTATTTGCTCCCGTGCAGCACACATTTACTTATTTCGTATTCCTTAAATTTGTTTTTTTCCCTTTCCACAATTTTAATTTTCTTTATCTCCAACTTAAATTATAACTCAATCTATTTTCTTATTTTTATAAATTCATAACAAAACAATAGTAATCTAAATAAAATAAATATATATTACATTTCACATTCATACACTTTTATTTCTGTTATATTTTTTTATACATTTTTTACGGAGTAATATTTTATACATCACCCTGCTACTAAAACACACAAAAAATCAATGATGATTTGTGATACTATTCATGCGTGTTCTATTCCAAGGAGTATGAACGTATGGTGCTCCGTGCTCATAGTGGACTAGTACCACGGTATACGAACTATCCGAAATGTGTTTTACCATTTAATTACTGTCAAACTTGGAAAATAGTACTACCTCCATCCCTTAAAACTTTGTCAAAGTTGACCGGCACGGAGAATAATAAAGTAAAAATTGTATGATTGAGGTTTGTGCAGAGGAGAGAGAAATAACAGAAATCACAAAATAATTGATTAAAAGTGAAAGTGGCAAAGTTTTTTGGGACGTCCCAAAAAGAAAAGATGGTAAAGTTTTAAGGGACGGAGGGAGTATCAAATTTAAAATCCGATACTGCCAAAACATAATTGTAATTACTCATATTTAGAGAATAAAAATATAGTAGTTCTATTTTGGAATACACACACGCTTTTAGTCCTATTTAGGAAAATTAACTGAAAGAATATAAGATAAAAGATAAAAAAACATAAGAATGTAAGAAAGAGTCATATGGGTCCAATGAATTAAAAGAAAATAAACCAATGAATTTCAAATACAGAAATCTACGTTTGTGAACATTTAAGTGTCAGACTGGCAGCTGGTTTCTTTTTTCTTGGTATATTATATACATATACACATATGAGCTATCGCAATACTACCTAATCAAGCAAAGCATTGGTTTGGTGTGGAAGAATATCTTCTCCGCAAACAATTTTTTATGCACACGACATCTTCAGCTAAATTCAAAACAAAAGGAATCATTGAAACTTAACAACGATACAGGATATATCATCCTTGCTTTTCCTAGCAACCGCGGCCTCTGCCAAATGCGTAGCTGCTGCTCCTGCATCCTTCATTTTCTTGATTGCATCCACTACCTCTTGATTTGTCATCACCTAAAAAGAGTTAACCAAATAACAGAGATTTGGAGTTAGCAAATGGTAAGACAGTTTAAGTAGTCGTGAATGGCATGATAATCAAATATCTACTGGTTGTCCGCTTAGGTGGAGACTAGACCATACTAGACTTTGACAGTTATAAAAAGGACCGGACATTTACCGGACCAGACTTAAACAAATCAGACCAATTAAAAAACATCTTAAGTATAATTTAGACAAGAAAACCATTCAAAATCCGAGATATTCAAGCCTTTACATAGACCCAACACATATATGTTTCTGTATAGTACAGATCATAAAGATAAATTTAAACCACAAAGTAGAATCATTGAAAACATATCATACAAGACTTGGAGAAAAAACCAGAAACGTCAAGCCCAAAACGGATCGGGTGAGACCACGTCTCCTTAGTTACAGACTTAAACCAGGGAACAATCTCTTTATAAGCATTGTCAATGAGGAGCAACAAGAAAAGGTGGCCGGGAGATCGACAAAAGAACTCACCTTCCATAGCCCATCACTCGCCAAAATGATAAAGTCCACGTCATCATCTATCAATTCGGTTGTCACGTCTGGTTCTGAACTCAGGTGTCTCTTCAAGCTTTTGTCGCCAAATGCCCGGGCAACTGCCAACTGCCCATCAACTCGAGGGACATCACCTGCAAGAGAAAAAGCAGTAAACTATCAGCATTTTACAGGATTTAATCTCAGGTCATTACATGATTACATCATTGCTCCTTATTAACCAATTGACTCACCATTTTAACACAACTGACCCCAACGAGATGGATATATGATGTTAATATGCATAATTATGGATGTTCAGCCTGGAAAATGAATAGCCTGTTTGGTATTGGTTATTTCTCTTAAATTGCTAATTCCATTTTTTTGCTTAGCCTTTTGGAAGGAAAAGCATTTGGTGAAACCGATTTCAACCACATAAGTAAGCCAAATGCTAGTAGGCTACTTATGCTTATCCTATTACTATTCTGTTGAGAAGCATGATTAGCAGATTATTTCTGCCAAACAAGCCCTATGAGAGTTAAGAGAAGCTACCTGGAAGGTTTGATACGAACCCTCCTTTGCTTTCAATAACTGGCTTTTCCTTGATTGGTTCATGGTCAATTGAAAGCTGCTTAGCTGAACTTCTCCTGGAAATGACAGCTCGAGAATCTCCCACATTTGCAACTACAAGCTTTTGACCATTTATAAGTATAGCTGTAACTGCAGTTGAACCTCCTCTCCCCAGGAGCACTGATTTCTCCAAAATATCTTTATCTGTTTTAATGTAAGCCCTCCTAATTGCACTCTCAGTATCAGTCCAAAAGTTAGGCTGTTTAAGGGAGAATAGATATAAGCAGGTCTATAAATCAAGGGAAAAAAAAGTGGATCACTCTGGAATAAAAGACAAAATAACCAGAGAAATAGTCCATATACACAAGTCACCTCTTTTAATATATTGTTGAACAGGTGTAATTGCAAGTAACTGGCAACATCATGACCCATATGCCCATCAAAGATTGCAAAAAGGCCCAAATTGTTTTCATTTACTTGCTGAAACGTAGAAACTATGTAATCTTCCATGGCGTGATTTGCTTTTCCCTTCACTAGGTGGAAGCCATGACTGACACTCTTTGATGTGCTTTTGCCTTTCCCTATGTCCGGTGAGCTGAGAGTAGAGGTGTAAAAGCATGCCTTCTCCTGAAACAAAAAAGGTGCCAATGAATTCTGAAATGAAAGCATTAATAGAAAGCACTAAAAGCTATTGCGAGGTTTATATAACCTCTACAAATTACGAGGTCTGACTCGAGTTATTTATGCTTTAATTTTTTTTTGTAGTGTTTCATTTGGTACTAGCGACTAAAGTATACAAAAGAACTACATAACAAATCTATTGCTAAATCAATATATAGATTTGTGTTTACATAAATACAGTGAAACACATTTTATATTATTTCTAAAGGTAGGAGTGAAGAAAACATAATTGCAAAAGCATTAGCCGCCCAGAAAGCGGGAAAAAACAGACATTCTTACAAAACACGCAAGTGAGGAAAACATGATGGTATATATAATCATATAATCCAATGAATAAAAAAATTCCATATAAAGCAAAGATCATTCACGATGGGCCATAAAGAGGGCAAAAGGTGCAGAAAAAAGGCATGAACATATCGAAAGGCAGAGGCCGAAGAGAAATCCCAAATATACCAGAATAAGTTATACAAAAGGGAGGCGATATTGTGGAGTATATGTAATCCAATGAAGCAACAAAATTTAGACAAAACTGCACCAAAGCCCAAGGTGGTAGCTATGGGTGCAATCTAAACGAGAAATGAGCAGAAGAGCCAATGATACCAAAAAGCCGTTTGTGCTGTAGTGGAATATAAATCTAAGCTTCAAATGATAGCGGATCCGTGAAACCCCCTAAACATTAACATTTAATGCAGTTTTGTTCAACCAAAAAGTTTAATATTAGTTCAAAAACCTTAAACGCTCTTAGTATCAAATACTGACCTAGTGACCTCCTGATTCATAGATTTCGACAGTTCCAACAAATCATTCAACAACTCAACAGTGTTCCTGACCTAGATACCTGAACTCCTTTTGAAAAGGCTACATAAAAATAAAAGTATATAAAATAAAATTTAAAATACTCCGTAATATATAAGAAAATATGCCACTTGATATGGTTGAATTTGAGTTGTGGTGAATTTAGTTCATTAACCCCAATATTGTGTATAAATCGCGAATAAGATATGTTTAGACTTTAGATTTGTCAAAAAGCAGGCCACTTTGTTAAATATTTTGTCAAATAGTATCTCTGCCTCTTTTTCAGTGAAAGGTTCCCTAATTTCTGCGATTTATTGAACACAGAACATCAAATACTTGACTAGTTGAGTCCACTATATATCAAAATAAGAACTCGGTAACAGCAAAACAGCCAGAGAAAGCAAAAATCAATCATCGAATGCAGTGAATTTACCTTCATCCTGTTCAGAATTTCTCTTCCTATCATGATTATGGCTTTCCCGCGAGTAACAAATCTGTGATGAATACAAAAGGGCTGCTTTCCGGTTAGTTAATGGAGTTAGATATTTCTCCGCGTGTAGCGGTGCTAATACAAGTAAGGGTGAACCTTACTGCTGACTTTTCAATCAACACCGCGTTCTTCGATCCCTTCCGGTATTCCTCGCAGTAAAAAAGCAAAATACAACTCGATAAGACATTGTCTTTGACGTCTTCAAGAAATTAAATCAAATAATAATGACAAACTAACTTAACTATAAGCAGGTGATAATTCCTAATAGAACCCTAATTGCAAGTCGTCGTTGACCTCTTTAGGTTCTGTTTGGATTGATAAGAATGACCCATACAATTTGAAAATAGGTAAGGAATTAGATGAAAGGTGGACAGTGAACGGAATGTCGTCGACTCTTCTGCCGACCAAACATTGTAAGAAAAAGACACTTGTAGCCCTCCTCTACTAGAGTTTATACGAATAGAATCGAGTCGAATAATGAGATTTTGTATTTGTATTTGTTTAATTTTTTCGAATACAAATTCGAATTCAAATATGAAACGAATATTAATTTTGATTTGTATTTGTATTTGTTTAATAATACGAATAGTTAACGAATCATATATGAATATCGAATCGATTTGAGCATAAGTTAAATTTTAGTCAAATATCACTCTAAAATAACTTTTTTGTATTCCATATTTTTTATGTTGTAAATGCATTAAGTTCAATTTTTACATAATTATTACATTAAAGTGAATTAATTTTATGATTAATAAATATAAATTTATTTCAAACTAAAGTGATATATCTTTAAATTTAATGGATCAATGAATTTTTACATGGTAGACAATATACTAAAGTGAATTAATTTTATGATGAATAAATATAAATCTATTTCAAACTTTTTTAAATAAACACTAACACACACGTATTAGAAATTATACTTATAATGTGTGAAATAAGTTGATAATTGTATATATCAAAATCAAACAATTCTAATTTTATTCTTCAAATCGAATACATAATTATTTGTATTGTATTTGAAAGACGTTTGAACCAAAAAAATGATTTGTATTTGTATTTATATTCTGATTTATTACAAATAGGTTTGGAATTTGTATGCAAAAGTGTATATATGGGTTACACTTTGAAGGCACTGCTATCTTTTAAAAATTATTATAGTGTTATTACTACTATTATTATTAATATTGACATTAATATTAGCATTATTATTAATCAAATATATTTGATTAATATTCGAATCGAATACACTGATATTCTTATTTGTATTTGATAACAACTCGAATCAAATTTAATATTTTTATTTGTATTTGTATTTGAATTTTCCGAATTCGAATCATCTTATACGAATTCGAATCGCGAATCGAGCACAAATTATTTGATTCGTTTACAACCCTACTCTCTACACTATGTGCTTGTTTTGTAGGATATGCTTCTATCTTACTCGTATAACTTTTCTATTATTTAAAAAGTATTTAAAAGTTTTTAGTTGTATGATTGGTAAGATAATTTTTAAGAGTTATTTACAAAATAATTTTTTTTGAGATGATACAGAAGTAGCATCTGGAAGAATGACAGTAGATTTTAGTTTTAATTAGTCACAACAACTTGTTATACCAAACAGAACTAAATTGAACAGTCAGCTTTTTATCGAACAACTACAACTTTTTCTTTTTAAAATCTTTTCAGTCACAAAAAATAACAGTTATTAAAAAGCTCATAAAAGTACATTTTCAGCTAGTTGTTCCAAACATACACAGTGTGTATCTGGATCTTGAGTAGCTTAAAGTCTTCATCTTTAGTCATTTTCTTTAGCCGGTTGTTTTTATAACTACAATTATGGAACTACCGGTTGTTTTTATAACTACAATTATCTTGAGTGGCTTATGAAACTACTGGTTGTGATGTGCTGATGATTATACTAGGTAATATGCACCATGTTTATTATGTTTAAAGTTTAAACTTTATTTGTTTAATGCAGTATCTTTGCCAAGATTATTTGATTTTTTGGTATTATGTTGAAACGGAGTTGGCCGCCTAGTCGGCGACTAATCGACGCCTAGTCCGCCTAGGCGCTAGGCGGTGCTTGACCACCCAACTAGCACCTAACGAATTTTAGAAGATTGCATACACTATGTACTTCCTAGTAAAGGTGTGACACTTTTGAACTAGGATCGATTCACTTCTATTCCACCATTTAAGTAGATAAATCTTTAAGAAATACTTCCTCCATTTTTTTTAAACGCAACATTTTCCTTTTTTGGCAGTTTCTAATTAATTGCAACACTTCCTCTTTTAGTAATAAAAATAACTACAATGATTATACTACCCTTAAATTCATTTAAACAAAAGAATTCTAACCCATCCCAATCGATATCACATCTTCATCCTCTCCGCTCAATTACATTCCACCCAATTACCCAAAACTTCTCTGCCATCCGTCAACCACCCCTTTACCTGAGTGCAATTTTGTTCACCCCTTTAAGGAGGGTGAACATCACCCCTTGCCATTTGTTGTCATGTGCCTTCTTATCCCCTCTTTTCTTAATTTAAAAGCATTGCCATGACATGTGGCAGCCCAATAGGGGTGAGGGTGATGTTCACTCTCTTTTGAGGGATGAACAAAATTATATTCCCTTTACCCAGTGCCGGACCCAGAACTTTTCTGAAACGGGGGCACTCCCGCATAGATGGAAATGGGTCGGGTCGGATCGAATCGGGTGTATCACTAGTCTTTTTTTCAAGTGCATTCAAATTATTATTTTTAATTGGAAATAGATTATTCAATGCCGGCTTCAAGCAATGAACACATATGGATTATAAGTCAAATTTTGAGCTTATTGAGACAATTCTAAATAATATATATGGCTTTTTGAAAGAAAGATATAATTTGGATAAAACTTGAGTCATCTTGCGTCATTTCTGATTTTACATTAGAATTCTCATTATTTTTCATACTATAAAATGATCAAGATTTCATATCTCAACTAGAATCATGCCGAATGTTACACATAATGCCACAAAATTTGTTGGTACTTCGTCTGGAATATAATACTATCGTGTTAAAAATGAAGTATAAATCATGTTTATGATTTCATCCTTTAATACAACTTTACTTAATAATATAATTCTATACATCTAACATTTATCATATTATAGACAAAAAATTCAAAGAGTCTGTTGATTTGAAACTAATTTATCACGAATTGACACATTTTTTCATGTATGGACTTTTATTCAAGATAAAAGTCTTCAATCTATTAAGTTCATCCTAAATATTAGAAGCCCTTGTCATATCGTTGACCTTTAACTTTGGGCAAACATTATTTACACTAAGTAAGAAAATCATCAATGTCACTTTCCAAAGAAAGTGTAGTAACCATATCAACATGTCTAAGTATAAGAATTTGCTTCATCACAACTTCGTGGTTGTTTATAATTTATACTATTTCTTACTACAATTGTTATGTCTTTGATGGAGTACTATATAGCATGGAGTTTTTTTAAATAATGACAATATGATTGAAATAAAGATAGTGAACAACAATAAGACTTAGTAACTACATACAATGGTAATTTTAGTGACTATGATTGTGTTGAATCTATCATTATAGTGACTATGCATAGTAACTATAGTACTACGTAATATTTATGTCTATTAGTTCTACTTCGGTAATATTTATTGAAAAATCTTTAGTTTTTTTGACCGTGTAGCGGGGCACAATTTTTATCTTAAGTACTAATCTTAAATTTCGGGATCAGAAGCGGGGGCACTTGCCCCCCTAGGTCCTCCACTGCCTTTACCTCCCCCATTTCCCACTCATTCACTCCTTTCTCCCCACACACTCCCTTTTCTTCTATCCCGGTTTTATTTCTTTCCCCCACTTTCTTCTTTCTTTCATTTTTGTAGAACCCATCTTATTTATCTTCACCCCATGACTGGTTTTTCCATGGCTTCATGCAGAACTCGCCAACTTTTTTTCATCCCCCCACTTGTTTTTCTCTAGCCTCTAGTTACTTCGATCCAAATTCTGGAGACACTAACGAGCCATGAATTCGAAGAAGCAGAGTCCGACTTGTTAAAATCGATCAAAAATGATACGGATAATTTATGATTGTAAAAAAACCATTACATAATCGCATAACCTGGTGGTGCCATCTTTGATCCTTGTCCAAACCTAGCGGTGCCGACGTTAATCCAAACAAATCTAAGAAGAGAAAGGGGTGAGAGAGAAAATCGTACGTATCAAAAGATATCTGGAGAAGGGTAAAAAAGGGAGAATATTAGTTTAGAGAGTTTTTTCCCATACGGGTGTTTTTCAAACTTATTTCCCAAATTAAGGTACTTTTAAACTTATTTCTCAAATAGGGGTATTTTTTGCCATGTCACCTCAGTATCAGTGCTGGGCGCCACATAAGCTTATCCACATCAACCCATCAATTCCATGTCATCAATTTTGAGAGTTTAAGTGTGCTTCTAAAATACAGAAAAAAATGAAGCTAACAGGATTTGAACCTGGGTGGAACACAAGAAAGGCATGTATTTAAACCACTACACTACATCATTCACTTGTTAACAAATGCCTTTTAAGAAGTATACATCATGTATACTTCACCCCGGGAGTGCACTATTTCTTAATCGCATGTATTATTTGTTCCTTTAGAAATACGAAGTATATTTCTTCCTTTCCCAAACAATTAAAAATATAACAATAAAAAACTTATAAAATAAAATAAAATAAAAGTAAATTTCATGCTAGTCCACTTTAAATTCTATAAAAGGTTTAATATTAATGTAAAATATCGTATAAATTTTTCTTTATGAAAATTCTCTAACAGCTTAATTTTGTTCAGCCTCAGCTCGACTCCGCCTCGGAACCAAGCATTTTTCGTTTATAAATTTATCAAGTTTTTTCTTTCTTAGATAAATATTATATGATTTTCTTGACATGAATAGTATCTGATTTTAAATTGGGGTGGGTTAGAGCCTTTCATAACATTTAGTAACAATAAATTTTAATTAAGTCTTTATTTTTAATTATCACAAACCTAGTATTTTGCGTAATGTTTTAATTATTTTAAAAAGAAGCTATATATTTTTAAAGCAATGAGTAATACACAGCTAAATGTATACATTCTTGGACTTAAAGTATTTGTATTGCAAATTTCACTAAAATTTAACATGTCACAATTTAGTTCAAATTTGAGTGTTGTATTTGAATTTGAAACAATAATAATCAATGAGAAAATTGAACCGAGTCCAGAAGAGTTGAGCTGCTATAATGAAATAATCACAACGAAAAGCTTAGTTTGCGATATTTAATTCTATAAAAATGTAATTTAAATTTATAAAAAAATTGAAGTATATAATTT